GACCCTCAGAGCGCCCTAACCACCTGGCCATGCTGTGCCACAGAAGAGAGAGTCTGACATCAAAAAGCTAATTGTGGAATCTTGAATAAAGAATAGGAGAGTGTAATGAAGACAGAAAAGAAGGTTACAACGTAGTAATTTTTGGGAAGTGGACTAACATGATGCTTTTCTTGCACGTCATTACATTACATTAAGTACCGATTTAGCTACATACATGAATATATATGTGTATGTATGTATTGTTATCAACCATCATTTCAATAATAGTGCGTTCAAAAAGAAAAAGAAAACGGGGAGAGAGCCGGGCGTAACCTAGTGGGTTAGCTTGTCGGGCTACGCACCAAAGGTCCAAGGTTCGAGTCCCGGTATATCCCTGAATAGTTTTTTTTTATTAAACCTAAGGTTTTTATCTGTACGTTTACCCCATGTGTTAAATCAGAAATATCAGATACATTCAGAAATGTTTGAAATAAGATGATTTTATCACATTTTCGTTAACAACATTGTTTGCTCAACAATTGTTTTGTTTCTTTCGTGTAGATAGTAAAAGAAATTATTGATATATATTTGGTTTAGTTATTTGAGGTTTTACAAGCTCACCGTACACTTGAAAGTGTTACGGTAGAGAGGCATGCTGGGAAAGAATTTTCGCATTTCTAGATAAAAATTAAGACTTCTATGCGTACATGTACTGAAGCTGAAGGAAACATTAGACCCACACATTTTTCTCTGGTGTTTTAACTGCTGAATACGTCATCATGATAACTCTGGAGTAATGCTTTAGCACATTTACAATACATGAAGTAACACAATACGTCAAGACGACTGGCACCATTCGATAGGCACGTAAAATTTAAGTGTTACAAAAACTATGAGAGATGACAAATTTTTCAGAAATAATGAGCTTTTAGCGTACTAAACACCACTGTCAACTAAAGATAGAGAAGACTTTACTGCCGGTTGATTATCCACATTACTAGTCACGTGTATGTTGATGATTTACTATGCCACATTTGGTTAAGGAATAGATCTGGAGTGACTAAGTTATAGAAGGAAAAGACAAATATGCCGAAACGTCGTTCCTGGGCTAACACCTACTAGGTGGCCGTCTATATTTCATGATGGTTCTGTCCGAAAAAAAAAACACTAAAAAAATATGTTACAGTGTCATCATTCCATCCCCATACCTCTACTTTCTGAGCTGTGCATTCTATATTGGAACTTACTTTGGAGATTTTTAAAAGTATCTGTTTCCATACAACTGAGACATCATGGAAGGTTCGTACGTAAATATTTAATCTCAGAACATTGCAATATATGAAGCCAAGGACACTATAAACAGTATGAAAACAGTGGTTTCTTAATACACAAAGCCACAAACACTACATAACAATACGAAAACAGTGGTTTCTTAATACACAAAGCCAAGAACACTACATGACAATACGAAAACAGTGGTTTCTTAGTACACAAAGCCAAGAACACTACATGACAATACGAAAACAGAGGTTTCTTAATACATTAATTAAAATATCTACAAACTATTATGTAGCACATATGTTCTATGATACATGAAACTAAGATATTTATAAACTATTAGGCAACACAGATGTTCTATGGTACATAAAATTAAGATATCTACAAACTATTATGTAACACATATGTTCTATGATACATGAAACTAAGATATTTATAAACTATTAGGCAACATAGATGTTCTATGGTACATAAAATTAAGATATCTACAAACTGTTATGTAACAGATATGCTACAATTCATAAAATTAAGATATCTATAAACTCTTATGTAACACAGATGTTTTATGGTACACAAAATTAAAATATCTACAAACTATTTATGTGTCATAGATGTTTTACAATAAATAAAATTAAGATATCTACAAAGTATTACGTAACACAGGTGTTCCTTAATACATCAGAAGTAAGAAGACTACGTTTCAGCATTAAACAAAGCATATTTTGTAAAAAGAAATTTTTTTCCTGACTTATAAAACTGCTCTTTAAGACATTTCTTACTCCTAATGCATTACAGTCTACAACACTATCAATGTACTGACTGTATAACTAAGAATGGATTTGTTTTCTGCCTGGATTTAATATTTTTCTGGTGTTTATCGTACATACTCACTGATACGGAGAAAAGCGAAGATTGTGTCTGGAGGCTTCCCGAGATTACTGCGAAAACACTAGCTCTCTGTCGAAGATACGTTTTACGTGTCTACCGTGCGTCTTCTAACTGTGTTAATCACACGTGCAGCGTGTGACGTCAGCACGAACTAAAGGTCTGTTGATGAGTTTAGTAAAAGCTGGTTGGTCCGTGATATAACTTATATTATTTGATCAGATTTAGAGAGAACTCTTGGTGGCTATCAGTCGATGCACGTAGTTCTATACTACCAAAATGTAGATTCTCTGCGTCGATAAGTTCCATTAAGTACTAATAATTTTAGGTACAACATTGAAATATTTCATGTAAAATTTTTGTTTGTCTGTTTGTAATTAAGCACAAAGCTACACAATGGGCTATCTGTACTCTGCCCGCCATGTAAAATTATTAACCTTCGGTATTTCTTTGACATACGGCAGAACATGGGAAAAATATATGAAAAAGAAAATAAAACAAAATGTATTCTAGGTCATTCTGAACCATTCCTAGTTCCAGCTTATTCCAACTGGAAGGTGAGGGAGGGGGAAGAGAGACATATAATGGGGCAAAATCTAAAATTAAAATTGTGAACGTCATTAGCTTGTCTTCACCCCCATGCTAACTTCGGCTCTGTACTGAGTCAAGAAGGTTTGTTTGATGTGTTTTAAATTTCGCGCAATATGCGAGGGCTATATGCGCTAGCCGTCCCTAATTTAGCAGTGAAAGACTAGAGGGAAGGCATCTAGTCATCACCACCCATCGCCAATTCTTGGATTACTTTTTTACTAACGAATACTGGGATTGACCGTCACATTAAACACCCACGGCTGAAAGGGCGAGCATGTTTGGTGGAATGGGGGTTCGAACCCACAACCTTCAGATTACGAGTCAAGCGCCTTAACCACCTGGCCACTTTGGGGACGTGGGTGCGTTATAGGAGTAACGATCAAATCCTACTATTCGGTTAGACAAGAGTTGGCAGCGGGTGCTGTTGATTAACTGCGTTCTCTTTAGTCTATTAATTATAAATTAGGAATGGCTATTCGCAGATAGCCCTTGTTTGGCTTGGTGCGAAAATTCTACGTACAACTTGACTATAAGTTTCACTTTAGTTTGTCAATGGATTTTCTTTTCTAAGCCTTGTGTATTGCGTATACAGTATATGTTACCAAAAACAGGCCTTGAACCCTTGATAAAAAAAATCACTATTCACAAATTTGTGGTCCTATTCTTTTATGTTCCCAAATAACTGAGCGTATAAATAATTGAATTATACATTTTGTAGCAAACATCTGCTCACGCGCACTTAAAGGCAACTGCGTGGCATTCTTATTACACGTTCTAAACAAACCAAGCAGACAGATGGCGCTGAATATACCGATGTAAGCCAAGTCGAACCTTTTTTACTTTGACAAATAAAACCAACTAAGTAGAACCAGAATAAGTCTTGTGTTATAGTAGTATTGTTCCTAAGATTCTGATCAACTACAGTTTTGAAAGATACTAATGGAGGCTCTTTATCGTCTGTCTCGAACGTACTGCTTTCTATTACATGTCAAACTCTGATATCTCGTTCAAAACAATAAAACTTGCTGCCTTCAGTCCTTCTTTTATTTAGAAATCTGTGCACTTACCGAGTTAAAATTTCACAAAGAAACCATAACAGATAAATTCAACAATAGGTGAGTGCGAGTACTCTAATAACAACCAGAAAGCATTACAGACAAAACCATCAACAAATGAATACTCTAACAATTGCCAGAAAGCATGGGACCATTAGCGTGTCAGATTGTGGATATGAGTCTCCATTGTTAGCGTCCCGTTACTGTCAAACATAAAATTACGATCCGCACTTAGAGGATATGGGTGTGTTATAAGAGTGACGGTCGAATTCCACTATATGGTGTGGCAAAAATAGCCCAAGAGTTGACGGTGGGTGGTATTGACTACTGTAGCTTTTCGCGAAAATCATCAAACAAACCAGAGAACGTAACAAAGAAAACCAACAATAACCGAGTACGAGTACTCCAATAATAACCAGAAAACATAACGAGTGCTCAAACAACCTGCCGACCAGAGAAAGATTTAAAGATTGGGGCTCGAGGGGGCCGGATTCTTTAAGGAATCATTCACATAGTTTATTCCGTTTAAGTCAAAGAACACTGCCAGTAATTGACCAGTTTTTTCACGTGTTGAAATATCTTCTGAAATACCCATAGTATTTGAACAAAACTTTACACACAATGACTGAACTCTAGTATTGATAACCAGATATTCAAGTCTGTTTAACGCAACTTTAGTAAGTTCTAGTGTTTACAGTACACCATGTAAGTGCTGAAATCTGATAGGCTTTTAACCCTAAAATTACTGATGGGTTTTATGTAGACTGCATCATCTTTTTACATAACTTTCTCAAGTATGTATACATCAATCTGCTTGAAGGTCAATGATATCGTTGATTACAGAGCCCCATGTAACATCGAGTCACATAAAAAGTGTAAACGAAAACATCATTATTACTGCAGTTAATATCACTAATTTCTGATTTCTGTTGGGTCCCCTGAGCAGTTTACGCAGAAGATGCCTTCTGGTAGTTACTAGAGTGTTCTTTTATTGTTGGTTTTGTGGGTAATGCTTTCAGGTTGTTATTACAGTGCTCGCACTCTCTTATTATTAATTTTATATATTGTTAGAGTATTCGTTTGTTGTTGGTTTTGTCTGTAATTCATCTGTTCACAAAAGTTTTTCATGTCGACCTTATTTCAGATATCCTGAATCTGCGCAACTCCATTCGTTCGAAAATGTATTTCAACCGTCCTATTCAGGTTTGTATTTCAACCGTCCTATTCAGGTTTGTTTGCTCATTTTTATAATGAGTGTTGTAAGAATTAGAAACAAAAAATTTGATTATTTGATATGATGTAATATATACAAAATGTCGGTAATTTGAGGGTTAATTAGGACCATAAAAATGAAACCGTAGGTAACAGATAATCAGCTAAAACAGAATAGTGAAAATATATTTTTTTTAAATTACACACGCAATACTAACTCGAGATTAACAGTAATATATCTTTGTAAAAGAGCTACAGAACTTCCGAAAGGATTCTATATTAAAAAATACATGACATTAAAAATTGAATTATGTAGTCTTTAGTATGTATTCACTCTTTTGCTCTGAAAAGTATTCAACAGTCTTTTTACTCTACCGAAGGCCTATAAGTTAACCGTACCTCTCAGAAGGCTATACGAGACTAGTTTCCAAGGTGACCCGACCCCCTAGGCCCGGCATGGCCAGGTGGTTAGGGCACTAGACTCGCAATCTGTGGGTCGCGGGTTCGAATCCCCGTCACACCAAACATGCTCGCCCTTTCAGCCGTGGGGGCGTTATAATGTGACGGTCAATCCCACCATTCGTTGGTAAAAGAGTATCCCAAGAGTTGGCGGTGGGTGGTGATGACTAGCTGCCTTCCCTCTAGTCTTACACTGCTAAATTAGGGACGGCTAGCGCAGATAGCCCTCGTTTAGCTTTGCGTGAAATCCATAACTAACAAACAAACCCGACCCCTTTATATCTACTACTACTATAACTATAATAGTAGACGAAAATTGAACAAACACATTTCTAATCAGGACTTCTTCGTTTAACATTTATTTATGCTTGTCTGACCAGGACTTCTTCGTTTTACATTTATTTATGCTTGTCTGACCAGCACTTCCTCGTTTAATATTTATTTATGCTTGTCTGTCAGAGATAATTTGAGAAAGATTCTTAGTTTACACTTCTAACGTGCATTCAAAATACTTAAGCGGAATTATGGGTAGTACAAAATATACAGACGGAAGTGTTCGAACTACAACAAAACAGATGCCTATTAAGGCTTAGAGCTGACATATCTAATTAATCATTATAGCAGCTTCCTAATGTTGTAGAAAACCGAGGAGAGAAATATCGAACGTTTATGCACAATAACCTTTTTAGTTGAAATAATAACAATCGGACACTTTAATCACCTCCTCCTGTAACTGTTTCAGGATTTTAACCCCTTTAATACGTGTTTCATTACAGTACAGAGATGTATAGTGAAAACCATCTGAATAGGCGGATCGAGGACTTTGTAATTAAACCAAGAAGTAGATCAATTTATTTACATAGAATGAAAGGAATCTCAGTTATTCAAACCTACTCTCATATGTATATAACGATTTTTGAAGTAGAGACTACACAGAAAACAATCGGAGCTTCATTTAGAACCTCATCCTTGTAGGAGACTACAAAGAAAAACAATCGGAGCTTCATTTAGAACCTCATCCTCTTACGAGGCTACACAGAAAAAAAAGAAATTGAATTTAGAACCATCTCCTTTCAGGAGATTGCATAGAAAAATAAACGGAGTTCAATTTAGAACCGCCTCCTTGTAGGAGAGTACATAGAAAAACAAACGGTGTTTAATTTAGAGCCATCTTCTTTTATAATACTTTACAGAAAAACAAATAAAGCTTAATTCAGAACTATCTCCTTGTAGGATATTACATAGAAAAACAATCAGAACCATCTTCTTTTTCTAGATTCCACAGGAAAAAAAAAGGAGCTTAACTGAGAACTATCGCCTTGTAGGAGATTACATAGAAAAACAAATAGAAGTTAATTCAGAACTGTCTCCTAGTAGGAGACTAAACAGAAAACAGACGGATCTTAATTCAGAACTGTCGTCTTATAGGAGACTACACGGAGAAACAAACGGAGTTTAATTCAGAGCCATCTCCTTGTCGAACACCACAGAAAACAAATGGATCTTAATTCAGAACTATCGTTTTATAGGAGACTACACGGAGAAACAAACGGAGTTTAATTCAGAGCCATCTCCTTGTAGAACACCACAGAAAACAAATGGATGTTACTTCAGAACTATCGCCTTTTAGGATATTATACAGAAAAACAGAGCTTCATTCAGAACCATCTCCTACAGAGGAAAGCAACGAAACTTAATTCATAACTGTAGCCTTGTAGGAGACTATACAGAAAAACAAACAGAACTTTATATAGAACCACATCCTTGTAGGAGACTATACAGAAAAATAAACTAACCTTAGTACAAAGCCATCTCCTTATAGTTATATTTTGCGTCATATGTCATTGTCAAGACTTTTTTTTTGAGAGATAAAATGTTTTGTGTT